TTGCTATGATAAAGAAATTGTTTCAATACTTTCAAATTACTGGTTTTTTCGAATTAAAGAAGAAACAAACATCTTCACACTCGATACAGTTTGGTGTTTTTTAAATTGAAAATATGCTTGTTCGTGGAATTTCCCCAAATCAGTAGGTTCGTACTGACCCTTACTGTAAGTCAAACCTTTCTTCTTGAAAACGTCATATTCCTCTTTTGTCTTTGGCAAGATGCGTTAACACTTGATTTTGAGTTTCTTACAGGCTGAACACTCTATATCGTTACACTCATTTAACCTGCAGCAAAGGTCACAAGTTGAGAGCTTGCAATGCCAATGATGTTGTTTACATCTCTCACATAAAGGAACCTCTTTAGTCTGTTCATACTGTTTCTCACGTTCCTGTTTTTCCTTATCGCTAACATTCTTCTTGCACTTGAACCTCTCTAAACATGGGATACAGTAGTAAACGGTTGCCATAATATGTAAAAATCTTTGATCACGACCCATTTGTTTTTAAAATTTGGTTTAATTTTATTTTTGGATTTTTTTTAAAAATCGCAGACGCGACTTTAGCTTTTTATATAGTTTTATTTTAATTATAAATTTATTTTTAGAAACAGTGGTACAAAATTGGTTTGAAATACTATTTTAGAAAATACAATTTAGTCAATTAATTCAAAATCATTGTTTAAAGGATCATTGTCAGAAAATTGTAAATATTCAGAATAATTAAAATTATCTTCTTCAATAAAGTTAACTGGAACTTTATGATCTACATAAATATTATCAACATCGATAACTTCTTCATCTTGATGATCGATTGAATCAACTTTCAGTTGATTCTGATAGGCCTATTTCGCGTATTGAAAGCTTGAGCCATAAAAATTCTCAATCCAATTAAACTCTTCAAATAACTTGTCAAGTAAGTTATTTTGTTTATCGATAACTTCTTGTAATCGATTGATGTTTTGAAGAGATGCTTCATTGATCTCTTCAATCTTTTTTTCGAATTCTTCTCATTCTCATTGTTTTTCTTCTTCATAAATATCAAAACTGATTAAGCGCGCTTGGTTGATCTCTTCAATCTTCTTCTCTAGTTCTTCTCGTTCTTGGTTATGAAGTTGTTTTTCTTCTTCATAAATATCAAAACTGATTAAGCGCTCAGGTTTTTTGTTTTTAGAAGAAGAAGAATATGGGTATGATGTGACTTTTTCGGAGACAAATTCGTGTTTTCGGTTTTCTTTAGGCATTTTGTTTAAAGTTTTTAATCAGAAACAGTAAATTTATTCTCCATTTTATAAAAATTGAAAAATACTTTGATTGGTTCGTTAAAAATTTTCATATTTTCTTTTAAAGCTTATCAGCAATTAAAAATTTCAAAATTTAATAATTACTATTTTCGTAATTCGAATTTGGAATTTAAGGAGTGTGAAAAACATTAGCTAAGAAAAACTAACATGTAAATTGATTGGTTCATCAAATTTACGTAAATATTTTTATCATTGAGATTTAAAATTACGTAAAAATATTTTGATCATGTTCATGATATCTTTTCTTTTATAGTTTTTTTATTTATATTAAACTTGATTGGTTCATAAAAATTTATCTTAAAATATTTGTTTATCACATAAAATTAAAAATAAAAAAAACTTGAAAAATGTACGTAAGAATCTAAATAAACTTGATTCTTGTCCTTACATTATTTAGGTAATTGAAAAATTTTTTATATTATTCTATTAATCAGGTATGAGTGTAACTTTAGTATGAATAGTATCTTTAATTGATTCTTTGATAAAAAAATTTATACTATTATTTTCGTAAACAAGTTTTTGTTCATGAAAAATCTTAATCCCCAAAATTTGTGGCGGTAAACAATAAAACCGGTTGCTTTGTAATTTGTTTTCTCTTGTGAAGTTATCACAAATGAATAACCTTTATCTTTAGCTTCTTGTATCGTGATTGGTGCATCTTTATCTTTTTTATAAATAAAAATTCTTATCCTTGTGGATCATTCATCTTTAATTTTTGTGAACGAGAAATTATATTCAGTATTTTTGATCAAATGACAAATATTTAGTTTTTTTATCTATTTAGAAATTAATTGGTTCAAAAAATTTCTATATAAGAACCTGTTTATATTTTAAAATTAAAATACCTATTTATTACAAAAATGGATTTAAAATCAAAAGAACAACTTGAAAAAATGTACGAACAAATGCGTAAAATAAAAAAAGAAATGATAAAAGCAAATAATTATATGGCACTTTCGTCTATTTGTCGACTTACACTTGGTGATATAGCAGATATTATCGAACGAAAATTAACTGAAGAAGAACAATGGTTCATAGTTGATAATTACGCTGGTGGACCACAAGATTTAAAAGATCTT